GCCCCCCCCCCCCCCCCCCCCCCCAACTATTTATTTAGCTTGAGATTTTTGACCCCTGGGGTTGAGATTTCCCTGGTTCTCCCTGTTTCTCTCTCTCTGTCTGGGTCACTGATTTCCCTTTATCCCTTCCTGGTGCATCCATCTATGTCATCCCCTGTATTTGCATCTGCCGGGAGCCGGTTTCGGAGCCGGGGAGAGAGGAGCGGCACAGGCGGCAGGATAAAAAAAACAAGCCAGGCTTTCTGGAGCCAGTTTCGGTCGGTGGGGAGGCAGAGAAACAATCAGACCAGGTGGGTGGGGCGGCTGGCACCGCCCCGCGCCCAGCAGGATCGGCTGGCCCCGCCGCATTCCTGAGCCAGGAGGAGCTGGGTCCTTTGCTGGTGCCCAGGCAGGGCCAGGGCCAGGGGGACCCATGCGGGGGCTTCCCCAGAGCCCCTTGCATTTACTCGTCCTTGCTGGGAACCCTGGGTAATCACCCTTGCATGCACGTGCATGCACACTTGCAGCAGGAGCAAGCTGTGTGTTTTTCGGCTGCTCTCTGCCACGTCATCTTAGGGTGGCCAGCGGGTTTAGTGTGTCACCGGGACCTGTGGGTTCTTTTCCTGTCTCTGTAGGACTTTGGGCGCACGCACACCTCTGTGCCTCAGTTTCCCCACACGTAGAACAAGCGACTCCCAGCTGCCTTGGGGGGACATCACGGCTATTTTGTGTCATGGCGCAGGCCCTCGGCCCAGATGCCTCGAAGCTGGGCTTGTTGCTGACCTCTGAGAGGGAAGCGGCACAAGTGGGTGTTTCCCAGGGGTCTGGGCAGCCCCCGTGGCCCCACCCCCCGGCTGTTCATTGAGTCGTGTTTGAAGTCATGGCCGTTTGGCCCCTCCATATGGACTGGAGCAGGTTCTCCGGCTGTATTAGGTGTGTGTGCCTGGTCCTTTGAGCAGAGGACAACAACCTACTGCTGCTAGCATGTCATGGAGCTCCTCCCTTAGCTCCCTGGGAGCGGCCTGGCTTTGGCCCCTGCTGGTGGCGGGGGTCGGGGCATAGATCCCCCAGCTAATGGAGGGGGGTTCCCTGCTGTCTTTCAGGCTATCGCTATCGTCTGTGGGTTCCTCATCGTCATTATCCTCTGCGTCATCTGTGTCTTCGCTCACAAGACCCGCAGCAAGATCTGGCAGTATGGGAAGCCGAACATCTACTGGGACAAGCCGCTGGCCATGCAGGAGGGCCCCAATGTGGAGGAGTGGGTGAGTCCCAGCCAGCAGAGAAGCAGTTAAAAGCATGGGCACGCAGGTCGTCCTCACTAGGCTCTGGCGTCAACATCTCCTCGCAGCTTCGGGGGGTTTCAGGTTGGCTGAGGGATCTGGTTCCTGTTGTAGGGTGACCTGGGCAAGCCTAGAGCATGCACACGCAAGCTGTTTGCTGCCGGGTAAGGAGGGGAAGGGGGCTAGCACTAAATCCTGCAGTGGTTGTCTGTGTGCCCGCTCTTGACCCGTTGCAGGCGGGCGCCAAGCTGGGCTGCGGAGGAAGGCTGTCGAGGGCAGGGCCGGGCCAGTCAACCTGGTCGGGTCAGGTGGGCCTGGCACCCAGTTCCCTGCTCTGCTCTTGGCCTGCCCTGTGCGCAGGTGTTTGCTTTGCACACGGCCGGTTTCGGTCTGGTCAATGATTAACCCGCAGCGCTTTCCCTGCCCGGCGGAGCTGGCTGCGTCACGTGGCCGGGGCCGGCCGTGGTGCAGGTGACGCCAGGCTGGGGGGTTTGCAGGCAGCTGAAAGGGGCAGCACCATGAAGCCATTTCCCCCCAGTGTGAGGCCTCGGTGCCAAGGTCTGGTGACCTTCCCCGTGGGACCCTGCTCCTAGCACCCACATCACTGGCCTGGGGGAGTCTGGAGCATCCCTGAGCCACCCGTGGTGCAAACAGAGCTGGGGAAGCTCCTGGGAAGGGCATGGTCCCCTTCCAGCCCCAGGCTCTGTCCTTAGCACCCAGGAGATGAACATGCGGCCAGCACATCCTGTCCCCTGTTTATCGCCCGGGCTGCGATAAACGGGCGACCTTCGACAGGGCGTCAACGCTGGCGTGTGGGCACGGCAAGTGCCGCTCAAGGGCGGCTTGTCTTCCAAGAGCCGCGGGACCTGGGGGTGTGGGCGGTGGGACCAGCCTAGGGGCCCAGCTGGAGCAGGGGTCAGGAGCTGGCTCCAGGTCATGCCGCTGGGCAGGGAGAAGTGAGCGCTGGTCCCAGGCCCCAGCACCCTCCATCCCGGCTCTCCGAGGACATGGAAGGAGGAGCGCTGCCGCTCCCATTCCCAGCACGGGGCTGCTCTTGGCAGGCCACAAAGGGCCAGCAAGGAAGGAAGGAAGCAGTGGGGGGACATCCGAGCCTTTAAAATCCCTTGGCCTCCTCAGGGCGAGACGTGACCGCGGCCAGACCCAGCCCCATGCACATCCCATTGCAGCCCCCGGCGCCTTTCCGGTGGGGCTAGGAAATGCCTTTGGTGGGAGATGGGACCAGCGGCTGCAGGGTGCTTGTGCAGGAGGACGAGGACGTGTCCCTGGGGCTGGGCTGGGCTGGGTCAGACCTGCCCCGTCCCTGCCCTGTGCCCAGGAGTGCCCCCTCCCCATCCCCTGCTGCCTCCCAAGCAGGGCCATTAGCAGAGGCATCCTTCACCCTTCCCCGCTTCACGCCTGGCGCAGCAGAAAAGGGGGGGGCTGGGGTGCGGTCAGAGCCATGGACCCCCAGGCTCCGGGCTGGGGTCTCTTACTTCCCCCAGAGCGGCCACGGGCCCCTCTCCCTTCTGTCTCGCAGCAGCGAGGTCCCAAAGTGGGAAAGGGTGGCTGAGAGACTGGGCTGGGGGGAGCTCGGCTGGAGCTGGGCAGGCCACATGGCTGCCCCGAGCCTCAGTTTCCCCATCCATGGATCAACCCGGCTGCCCAGCATGTGGCATGGTCCGCGCTGCAGCCGTGCCCAGAGGAGCGGTGCCAGCTCCCCCTTGGCCCCCTCCGCAGGGTGGGGCAGTTTCGGTGGCAGGGGCTGTTTGCCCAGGGGGTGTGTGAGCTTATCACGCCTCTGCCCAGCCTGATAAAAGGGCTCTCGGTGGGGAAGTGCCTTTGTGTGCCCGGCTCCTGCGGGCATGGGGCATGTACTAGGCGCCCGGGCCCCTCTTCTCCCACTGCTGTGTGCACAGCAGGGCGGGGTGGGCCAGCGACCCTGCACCCCCACCCCCTTGGGCCCAGCCCTGGATTCCCTGCTACCTACCACCCCTCTGAGCTGCCAGGTACCCCAGCTAGTCCACCCCCCCAGCTCCCTCGGGCAGAGGTGGCATTGCTTCCCCTGGTCCCAGAGGCTGCCCCAGGTCTCGGCCAGGCATGGACTGAGCCTCCCACCCCTCGCCGCTTCCCAGGTGAAGAATGTCGCCAATGGCACCAGCACCCACGACGAGACGGCCACGCTGGCCTACTCCGAAAAGCCGACCAGCCCCGTGCACGCCATGCCCAGCGCCTACATCTACCCGCCCCCGCCGAGCACCTACTACGCCCCTGAGAGCTGCCACATCACCAGGTGGGCTGCCTGGCACGGGGGCCTGGGTCCGAATCCTTCCCCCACCCTGTCCCACGGGCAGATGTGCCCTGATGCAGCTGGGGTGCGTCGCTCAGGGGCCCTGTCTTGGTGGATAACAACCCCAGTACTCTTTCCTGTCATGGCAGGGGGTCGGACTCGATCTGCTCAGGTCCCTTCTGACCCTAGAAACTATGAAACTATGAGGCACTAGGGAGGCTGCGGGGCCAGCACCCGGGGCTGGGGTCCGGAGAGTTGGGTTTGGGATGCGGGGGCCACAGGCTGCAGGCCCCGAGCTGGGCTTCCTGGTCTCACTCCAGCCTTGCTATGCTGCCACCCACTAATGTGGGGGGCTTGCACCCAGGTCGGGACCTCCTGCTTGGTGGGGTGGGGTTGGAGGATCTAGCCTGACCCGTGGCTTCCCCCGGTAGCTCCCCTGCCCCCGTGAGCGAGGGCCAGCCGGCTACAACGTTTAGCACCAGCACGCTGGAGGAGAAGGGGCGGGAGAGCACCAGCCGACCATCTGCCCGGCGGGGCCGGCGCCGCAGACGCAACCCCGAGCTGGACGAGTCGCAGTACGAGACGGACTACACCACGGCCATGGAGTCCAGCGACGAGCGCGACAAGGACGAGTGGGGCAGGTGAGTGGGGTGGCTGGCCGCCGTGCGGGCTCCATCCTTCCCTCCCTGGGCCACGGGGACCCACTGGCCTGGGGGAGGTCTTGTCTGCCCGAAGTTGGGGGCACCTTGGGCCTGATGATCCCACAGCTGTGCCCTGCTGGGGGCAAAGTGCCACGTGCTCGAGCTTCAGCGTCCGACGTGTCTTTGTCTCCCCTCCCCGGGCAGCGTGTACCCCCCGATCACCTCGGACGGTGCCCGGCAGGAGTACAAGCAAGTGTTTGATGTGGACCTCAAGCACTACAAGCAGCTGTGCGCCGAGATGGACAACATCAACGACCAGCTGAACCAGCTCAGCAAGCAGCTGGACAGCCTCTCGGAGGACAGCCCCCAGTACCAGGTACCAGGCCAGACCAGGGTTTCCAGGAGGCCCTGAGGTACAGTGTGCTCCGGGGTGGATTAGCTACAGGGAATACCTTGGGGCTGGGACTGCAGCACCTGCAGGGACCAACCTTGCTCCTGCTCCCTGCGTGGACCAACAGCGTACGCACAGGGAGGGCGTTGCGCCCATTTTAGAGCTGCAAGACTGAGGCCTGAAGAGAGGCCGCGCCATGCCTGGGGGAGCTGGCAGCAGAGCCAGGAGCTGAACTGGGCTCCCAGGCCAGTGCCTTCCCAGCCCCCTCCCCAAGCCATGAGCAGACCGTGCTGCCCCCGGGGGACTCGGGCCTGACCCGTGCCAGGGGAGAGCGCTGCAGCAGGCACCCGCACTGGGAGCCCCTCATGGCTCGGGGTCTGTATCAGCCCTGGGTGGGTCTGCTTCGGGGCCCAATCCTGCTCCTGTGGACGCCGAAGGGGATTTGCTGGTGCCTGTGCCCCAGCCCGTGCGCACGTCCGCAGGCGGCGCTGTGCTGTGCCAGGGCCGTGGGTATGGGTGCGGAAGCCGGGGTGGGCTTCTGCCTGCGGCAGCTCCGTGGCCCAGCGTGTGACGTGTCCCTCCCGCGTGTCTCCCGCAGGGCGTTGCTGAGGAGTACAACCGGCTGAAGGACTTGAAGCGGGTGAGCTCCCCCGGTCTGCTGGCTCCCCCGGTCTTCCTGTCTCTGCTCTGCCCTAGGGTTGGGTGGTGTCCCATAGCCCAGCAGGGGCCACGCTCTTGGGCAGGCCTGCTACAGATTAGCCCTGCTCCCCCCGAGTGCCACTCTGATCCCCTTCCTCCACCCAGTCCTTTGCTCTGCTTTCCGCTCCCTGCTCTGTTTGCTGCTATGCTGCTTGTCCCCTTTCCTCTCTGCCCCATGCCCCACACAGGGGCTGCCCTTGGGGCCCCCCCAATTGTAGCCGGTGCCGTTGGGTGCACAGCCATTCACCTTAATGAGCTCTAGGATGTGATCCCACAAGCAGCCATGGTGGAGCGGAGGGCCCTCAGCAGGACATATCCGCATGCCTGCTTTTTACCCCGTGGCAAGTGGCAGCTAAAGCCCGGGCGTCTGCCCCTCCTCCCCCACAGGCTGCGGTGCAGCTTCCAGTTACCCAGGAGCAGCTGCGTGCATACGGGCCGTGGCATGGAGCAGCCCATGCT